GCGGCGGATGCCCAGGCTGCTGCCACCGGGTCGGAGCCCAGGGCGAGAGCCTTCCCCAACCCCTACGCCCCAGGGATTTCTTTTCTTTTTTTCTTTTCTTTTTTTTTTCGTTCTTTTTGGCTGGGTGGTGTAGCTTTGCTCCAGACAGCTCTGCAGAGTGTTGGAGCCAAGGAGAGAAAGGGATGGGGGGAGGGGGGGGGAGGCGAAGCCAGAGGCACACACCTCGCTCGCGAGCCAGCCCTGGGAGTCAGACCACAGGACAGTGGCGGCAGCTGCCAAGGAGACATTTTCTCCCGGAGCAGCCAGGTTCCAGCGTCCTCTGCCAACCCGGCTTGCGGGCTCCCTGTCTACTTTTCTACAAACAGGTTCTGGCGGTCACGGGATTTCTGCCTGGACGGGGATTGGGCGAGAGTTCCGCATATGGAGGCGCCCTGGTCGGAGCCTCCCGCGGCGGAGCGCGTTTCCTTCTCCCAACCCCACCCCAGACCCTCTTCAGGCTTTGAAGGGGCTGGCTTTGGATATATTTTTATTTTTTTATTATTATTTTTTTTGGCCCGCTCATAATAACGTTGCCTCTGTGTTAGATATTAGTAGGGCTCAGTTGTATTTTCTTGGGGAAATCGCGTGTTTATTTGATTGTAGGGTATAGCTGGCAGTGCAAAATGACTTTTACCAACCATTGAGAGAGTTGTAGGTAGCAGCTGTTCCTGTTCTGAGAGAGAGAGAGTAAAATAATGGGTGTTAAAAAGAATTGTCAGTGTGGGCTATTTTTCAAAAGGTAAAAACAATACAAGAGTCTTCAGCCAGATCCGGGTTGCCCTCTAAGTAACATGGCTCTTACTACATTTTACTCAGAAGCTATCCATGTGGGTGCTGGTGGGCTTCAGATGATTGTAAAGGTTTTGTGAAATTAATTTTCTTTGATGCAGCTAGTCGGTGAACGGCACTTTCATTCCCGTTCCTGTTTGTCTCAGGTTTTAGCTGGACAGTTGGAAAGACCATGCTTTGGCTTCAGGTAGATTTCAGTTCCCAGCTCTTATTTTTATGCTCTGAGCAAGTCACTGGTCTTCCCTAAGCCTGTTTCCCTACGTATAAAATGGAAGTAAAAAAATATTCATGGAATTCTTGCCAGGGTTATGTGACTAGGCAATAATTCATTGAAGATTAAATTTCATAATTAAGAATGATTTCCATACATTTATACCTTTTTTTATTTAGGGCTTTTATTGGGACTCTGCTTTTTTGAAAATAGATAAACTTATTTCCAAATTAGAATTCAGGCGCCGGAATTATTTCATTTAACAAACATACCTACCTTTTTGCCCGACTAGTTAGGTTTATGTGTTGAAAAGCCAGATTTCATACTGGAACAAATTCGTGCATCATGGCCTGATCACTTTAAAGCAGCGGTTCTCAACCTGTGGGTCGTGACCCCTTTGGGAGTCGAACGACCCTTTCACAGGGGTCGCCTAAGACCATCGGAAAACACATATATAATTACATATTGTTTTTGTGATTAATCAGTATGCTTTAAGTATGTTCAAGTTGTAACAATGAAATAGGGGGTCACCACAACATGAGGAACTGTATTAAAGGGTCGTGGCATTAGGAAGGTTGAGAACCACTGCTTTAAAGCATTCTTTTGTTTCATAATAGACTAAATACTAGAACAGACTTCAAAATTTGAAAAATAATTTTAAAATGCAGAAGACTTTTTTAGGTGGTTTTACATGGCCACTATTTGGATTATCCAATTTATCATCATATTTTGCTTATTTTGAACCTATGAATATTTGTCAGGGGGAAAAAATCATTGAAATATTATTACTTTTTAAAGTTATATTTTCAATTTACTTACTGAGACTACAATTGATACTCTTTATTAGAATAAGGATAAGTGTCACATTCTTTAAATTCACTTATTCATTTTATCCTTAATCTCCTGTAGAAAAATACTTAACCAGAGGGCACAACTAAAACCAGTTACCATTTAAACTTAGGTCATTTGACTCTTTATCCCAAGACCCCTAATCAACCAGTGTATAGTTGTCTATAGATGTTATCGGCAAATCTTTTCAAACAAATGTAGCTTATCAATTATTAGACAGTTTTTTAAAGGAGATATCGACCGTCTATGCCATTCAACATAGTACCACTGCTTTATTTTATTCTGAGTGTTATACTATTGTGTGAAGTTTTATTTCACATCAATTTAATATAATTGGGTGAGAATTTAAACATTTCCTTAGAAAAGAGAAAAAAGATTTATTAATGATAGAAATTGAGATATGGTAGCTCTTCTCTCTCCCTTTTTCTTTTTCATGCCATTATCTTTAGCCTCATAAACCACTTAGTCCATCTTCATAGAGATTATTCACCCATAACCATCTAAGACATTTAGAAGAAGAATTCCTTAGGTGCTAAAATTATTATGATCAGAATGTAGGAAAAGTAAGGGGTTTTGTGTGTGTGTGTGTGGGGGGGGAGGGATACTTTTATGGGAGGAGATGATGATGATGATAGAAATTAAACACAAGAATAAATTATTAAATGACTTTTAGAAAATATGAGAAGAATTGAGATTTAAGTTAGAATTACTGAAGTTAGGAGTTTAGGAATATAGAGTGTCCCCCAAAAATGTATACATACACTTTGAATAATTATAAAGATAGTGTTTATTAAAATACATTTTATTCTCAAAACTGAGCTATCAGCTGTTAAAATGTGTGTACATTTTTTTGGGACACCCTGTAGTTTACATTAATTAATAAGCCATTGTGAAGAATGCCTTTTATAAAAATTTACTAACTGGATTTCTGATTATTTTCTTAGGTTCCTTTTCTTTTGATTCTTTACTAGTTCTTTGCCTACTGACTATGCTTATATCACAAGGAACAGTTTGTGTAGTGATTAAGAGTTTCACCTCTTACCATATGCCTTTTAGCTAATATGACATAGTGACCTGGGACGAACTACCTGATATATCCAGACCTTAGTTTTCTCGTTTGTAAAAGGGAAAGAATGTTAACTATAACACAAGATTAAGTGAAAATTAATGTATATAAAGAAGTGTTCTTCAAAATAATTTACCTGCATACATACACATAAGATAATTTTGAAAAAAGAGTCACTTAATTTCAAGTTGGCATCTATCTTTTGTCATTTATTTTAAACTAGAGGCCCAGTGCACGAAATTCGTGCATGGTAGGGTCCCTAGCGGCTGCCAGTGGCCAGAGCCTCCCTTCCCCAGGGCCTCCCTTCCCTGGCTGCCGGCTGCCAGCCAGGGCCTTCCTTCGTTCCGCGCCTCCCCCTGGTGGTCAGCACACACCATAGCGAGCCATCAAACTCCCGGTCGGGGACACTTGCATATTAGTCTTTATATATAATAGATATATAGATAGTTGAGAAATGTAATCTTCAGTTTATTGAAAATATTAACACTTTGAAATAAAGCTTTTATATCCTTATTTTAAATATATCCAATTAACTATAAATACTAATGTGATGGTATCTATTCTATAGAATATATGAACAGGCTCCTGATAATCTGAAAGTTTACATTGTTCCTTTTTGTCTTTGAAATTGTTTCCATGCATTTTCCCCACAGATTTTTATAATGTATTTTTGTGCTTGAAAGTGCTTTATTGATCACCTAATTTCTCTACCACCATAATATGTATTCTTGTTAACAAAGGTTCTAAGTGTTAAAACTCTTTTGGCTTGAGTTATTACAATTAATGCACAATTGATTAAAATTCTACTAGTCACGTGCCTTGAGTAAAGGAGGGCTTTGCCGATAGCCTTTGGCACTACGGAAATTTTAAATTTTTACACAGTGCTTTCTTTTTTTTTAAATCCGCAGAGGCAGGAGAGGCTTCCGCCACCGCCGCTGCACTCGCCAGCCCTGAGCCCATCTTCTGGCTGAGCGGCGCTCCCGCTGTGGGAGAACACTGACCACTAGGGGGCAGCTCCTGCATTGAGCATCTACCCCCTGGTGGTCAGTGTGCATCATAGTGACCGGTCGTTCCGGTCATTCCATTGTAATGGTTGCTTAGGCTTTTATATATATAGACTAGAGGCCCAGTGCATGAAATTTGTGCACTGGAGGGGGGCGTCCCTCAGCCCGGCCTGTATCCTCTCACAGTCTGGGAGCCCTGCTGTCAATAACCCCAAATAGGTAGGCCCCGCCCACTCAGCTGGGGCTCCTCGATGGATTGCCCCTGCAGAGGGAGGCCCCGCCCACCCACTGCAGTGCGACTGCTGGTAGCCTGGGCCTCCCTCTTTGGGGTGATCGACCGCAGGGTTTCTCCATCGATCACCCCAAAGAGGTAGGCCCCTGCCCACCCGCTGCAGCGCTGCCGTGGGGTAGCCTGGGCCTCCCTCTTTGGGGCAATTGATCGCGCCCCCGTAGAGGGAGGCCCCGCCCACCCGCCACAGCTGGCTGGTCGGTAACCTGGGCCTCCCTCTTTGTGGCAATCATGGAGCCCCCCAATTGATCGATCGGCCAGTGGCCTGGGCCTCCCGCTGCAGGGCAATCATGCGGTGATGGCCAGGCCCCCAACCAATCACATCACACCCGCCTAGACTGGTCTGGCACCAGTCGGTATCATAGAGTGGTTGTCTGGAAGGTCATCTGAAAGGACGTCCACAAGGTCGTCCGGCTGTCCAGTCTAATTAGCATATTACGCTTTTATTATTATAGATATTGTTTAGGGAGTAATGAGAAAAAACTATGTGTTCAGTATAGATACAACCATCGTAGGTAGGCCTGACTACATAGTACATGTCCCCAACAGCATACCATTTCTTTTCCAAATATTTTGATCCCGTGGTTGGTTGAATCTGTGAATAATGTGGTACCCATGGATACAGAGGGCCAACTGTACTTTTGTTTGATAGTTGTTGGTTTTCACCAATTGGTCTCATAAATATACTTTACTAACTGTAGTTAAGAAGATCTAAAATTTTTCAAAGGGATTAAACTTTTAAGGGTTTCATTTAACATTTTTAAAAACTTGTTCAATAATTTTATTTTCAGAACTGTGATCCTACTACAGTTTTTTAAAATTGTGGTAACTTGCTACCTAGGTTTTGGTTGGTTGGTTTGTTTTTTAATCAATTCAAAAGTTAGGATGCTTCTAAGGCTTGGTTATTTTGTTTGTGAGTCAAGTTTGATTCTTAGTACTATTCATGAATATCAGACAGTTTTGAGATATAACCTTCAATATTGTTACAGATAAAGTAAAATTTTAAACATTGGGTTTGTGTCCTTTAAATATTTTAGTTCATTTCGACTTTTGTAATGGAAATGGTGAAACTTGATTGAATGCAAAGTATCCGGGGGGATAAAATGTTTTTTAATAATACAAGTTAATTTCTAATATTATATTATTACAGAGGAATCAGGTTTAATTTGTCAGAAAAACTAAAAGGTCATTTCAGCTATTCAATCTCCTTTTCAAAGGGTTGATGAGAGGGGGTATCAGCCATTTGTGTTAGAGCCCCATGAGGTGTTATTCATTCATACTCTTACTTGATTGATAATATGAGAAGAAGCTCTTCCAGAGTAAAGAAAGGAACTTAAGAAAGAACTGTTTTCAGTAACCATGTACTAGGGATAATAAGTCTTATATAAGCATTATCCAAATGCTTACCATATGCTGGCTACTTTATATTAACTCATTTAATTTTTGAACAACTCTGTGAAGTAGGAACTCTCATCATCCCTATTTTTAAAGATGAGTTACATTGGGGCACAGATACATTAAATAAGTTTGCTCAAGGTGACAAAGCTAGGAAGTAGCAGAGCTGAGTTTTAAACTTGGAGTGTAGCTCTCTGATGGTTACACTCTTAATCATTATACTAAAAAGTATCTCATTTTTTGTGAACATCAGTCATCTCTTGGCCTCGTTGAGACATATATGATTGAAAACAGTGGAGTCCATTTCAAGGGTTAGGGAAAGAACATTGTGAAATGCCTAATTCGGTGTTCTCCGGTGCCAGGCACGATTATTCTACAAATGCCCCCCTAGCTGTTAGTGCCCACAGCTTGGGTGCCAGTCTCTGTCAGATCTTACAATGCTAAGAATTTTGGGGAAAACTTAACTGTTATTCTTCATGGGGGAAAATATTTTTTTAAAGTTTATATTTGTTTAAGAGATATTTAATGAAGGTATTTTAATTCAGGCCTTCTGTAATGCAAGAATCAGATGCAAGAAAATGTCTAAATATTAAGCATAATATACTCTTAAGACTTGAGACTTTCCCTCAAGGGCATGTACCTTGGTTGCAGGTTCCCTGGCCCTGGTTGGGTGCATGCAAGAGGCAACCAATCAATGTGTCTCTCTGTCTCTCCCTCTCCCTTTCACTCTCCCTAAAAAAAAATTCAATGGAAAAATATCCTCAGGTAGGATTAACAACAACAAAAAGACTTGAGACTTAATACAAACCTTTGTTGCAATCTATGCTTAATTAAGTAGCATTTAAATTATAATCCATTCTGAAAAAGAATCAGTGCCATTTTAAAGGATTGAAGTTTAGGATACTCATTTGAAATAGCAATGGAGTTTAAGTAATAAAGGCTTCTGACCTATTTAGATAGGATGTCTGTATTATTTCCATCGAATGACTTGGCTCTTTGTTTTTGTGCTTTTATTTTATGTGTTTAAAATCAAATATATATTTTATTTTTTTGCAAGAGAAAATAACAAAACTTAATACATAGTATGGAAACCTTGCATGCATGAGGGAGTCAGAGACCCACATGCAGAAGAGGGTCAGAGATAGACAGAAATTGTGGCCATGAGTTGCTGATAGCTATCAACACCTTATAAAAATCAATTATGACATGTTTATAAACAAGTCTTCTTAAAATAGGTGGCAACAATGCTTCATTTGTTGGTAGTTTGAATTACCTTGAATGTACCTATGAATTAGGAAGTAGCCAAGAAAAGACCAGACCTCATAGGCATGTACTTGGCTCTGGGATAGCTATGTCAGGCATTCGTTCATTCCGTCTATTCTTAATTTACCTGCTGTTTATCAGTAGAGCTTGATTTTTCTGACTTTTTAGATTATAACAAGTTAGAAGTAAAATTAGAAACAAGCAATAGTATATTCCTAGATTGAGGTAGACTCTCAAATGACTTTAAAAAGAAGTAGCATTATTAACTTTTACATTGTTTTACTTTGTTTTCTTCTTACACAGAGCACATACTTTTATAAATGTAAAATGTAATAAATGAAGTCTAAAAAGGAATAGCTGGCAGAGTTCTAGCCAGGAATAAGATTAAATAAAAACTATAAAAAGCAGATACAAGTATTTAAAAATTACAGTAATCTTGGCCCATTTAGATATAGGGCAAAACAATTAACTTACCACCTGAGGTATTCTCTATGGTTTTAAAAGAGTTTTTAATGACTCCTAAGTAATGTATACAAGGTTAAGTCAGTTATTATCTATAAAGAAGTTTGGATGTGTAATGTACTTAAAACCTTTCTTTTTAATTTAAAGGGGGTAAGCTTCAGTGTTTATGAAATTTCCTTCATTTTTGTAAATGGGTATTTAATGTATTTGATGTAAATCTGTTTTCCTTCTCTTTATTTTTCTGTACTTTGTCTCTTTGCCTTCCTTTGCAGGTACTATAATAATATAGAAATAAACTAATCTTGGTTATACTCATTTTGAATGTAAATAAAAATCCATCGTATTCAAAGTAATTAATTTTTTCCCCAGGTGCTACAAAGTACACAGATAAAGACAATGGAGGAATGCTTGTATGGTCTCCATATCACAGTATACCAGATGCCAAATGTAAGTTTTCTGAACTTGAACATTTATGTCAATAGGCATCTACTAACCAATTCAAAATGCAATTTTTATTTGTTTTTGGGTCTCTTAGATTCTCATAAGAAAAAACAGTTTGTCCTTGTTTTGTTTTGTTTTGTTTTGTTTGATGGAGGTTGTTATATTAGAATGTTTTTCCTTTTGAAAGGTAGTGGGTTGATCATTCCAATTTGTGTCAGGCCCAGGAAGACAGAGGAAACCTAGGATCTGATGGCATTTTGCTGCTTAAATCCTCAAGCAGGGGAGGGAGTTCCTATGTAGACATCTGCCCAGGTTTTTCCTCAGTGTATGGAGATGTAAAGAAATGCCTTCCAACTTCAAAGAGCCCACTGTCAGTACCATGTTAAAGAGGAAAGGGGAAAGAACTGACTCCAGCAGCCATCAATCAGGTCATCTCTGTGCTCTCCATTTCTGGACGGAGGCCTTCTGGATCATTGACCATGCACTTCTTGAATCATGGTGTGGCTTTAGACTTCAATGTGATGTAGCGGACCTGATCCTTTGCGGCACATCAGATATAGGAAACGTGCAGGTAACAAAACTAAGATCCCCATCCCTCCATTTAGTTACGTTGAATTTACTAAAACAAAAGAACCACTGAACAGCTCCTTTAGCAGCTGTAAAATAAGCTGGTCTTTTAAAAATATTTACTAAATCTTATAGCTGTCCCATGATGGTTTATTTAGAAAAGTAATGATCATATAATAGTAAGTCTAAGTATACTTATTGATGCAATAAGAGAACTCAAAGTTGACAACTGAAAAATATTCTGCATACCAGATCATTTTTCCTATTTAAGCACTGTTGTGTTTCTTTGGTTCACTCATAGGCAAAGGTTTTCATTCATAAACTGAGTATCAGAGTGTCACTGGCTTTTGCTTTTTTAGCACTGTTTTTATACAGTGGTGCCTTTCTGAGCAAAGTGATAAACAAAATTCAGAAAAGCAACATTTCCTGATAATATGGTGTTCATGTAGATATCCAACTGAAGGTCTAGGGTTATGCATTGAAATCACTTGGGGGAACTTTAAAAAAATAAACACTGCTGATGTCTGGTCTCTTGTCTCAAACCATCAATCAGAATTTTCAGAGGTGGAGCCTGGACTTACTTTTTATTTATTTATTATTATTTTTAATCTTCACCCGAGGATATGTTTTTATTGATTTTTAGAGAGAGAGGGAGAGGTAGAGAGAGAGAAACATTGATGTGAGAGAGAAACATCAATCAGCTGCCACCCATATGTACCCCAGTGGGTATCAAACCCGCAACCTGAGTATATGCCCTGACCGGGAATCAAACCTATGACCCTTTGGTTCCTGGGACCAACACTAACCACTTAGCAACACCAGCCAGGGTCAAACTTACTTTTTAAAAGCTCTTCCACTGATTCTAATGTAGAGCCTGCCTTAAGAACCATAGGTTGATTGGTATTGTTTAGCCTTCTATTTATACGTCTATAGGACATTTTTGTTAAATTTAATTAGCATATATTTAGACCTGTCATGTATTTAAGTACTATAGGTTCTAAACAGAATATAATATTTGGATTTTCTGTACCAAAAGTTTACAGTCTTAGGGAGATATAACAACATCTATAAAAGATAGTTATTCTAACAGCATTTTTTTATAATAGCATATGTATAAATTAATCTATATTGTACTGAGCAATGATGATAACACATTCTTATAAAGTAATTAAAATGTGCTATTTTAAACACTTTACACCTATTAGCTCATTTAATCCTAGGAGGAAGGTACTATTTTTATCACTATTTAAAGTGAGGAAACTAAGGTGCAAAAAGGTCAAGTTTAATTGCCTAAAGTTAAAACACTAGTAACAAGGCTGAGAATCAACTTCAAGTAGACTAGCAGTTCTAGAATCAGAATTCCTAACCACTGCTTCTCAAAAATGTGCTTAAAGAATATATGCATATATATATATGTATATATACACACACACATTATAATACTATAATATTAATATAGATGGATCAAGAAGGACTGTAGAGACTTCACATAAAACTGAGTCTTGCTGAATGTGAAATAGACTTCTCTTCAATGAGGCCTTGAAATAGCCAGTGTATCATCACTGGAGCTGTGCTTATATACATTCTAATGGCTTCACTACATGTGGAGGATAAATGAAACTGGAATATTCAAACACCTTTAGTATAGCTAGCAGAAAATGCTGGAGAAAATTTTAGGGATACTAAAGTATATTTAAATATGTTGCTAACTATATATAGCTGACAAAATAGGAAGGTAAAGGCTTTGGGCCTACTCTAAATATGAAATGGGGTCTTAAATAGCTGAGTGATTTCAAATAAAGACTGTGGCAGAAAAATCAAGAAATTTTCTAATGTATTACACTGTAATTAGGCTCTGTTGGCTACCCACAGGTTGATTTTTTTGGTCATATAAGTCATACTAAGTAAAATTTTAAACCAAGTGTACTTTTGATCCTATTCATAGAACTAAAAGTCTTTTTTGTAACGTTTTATGAAAAATAACTTTGGCTATTTTTTTATTCCTGTAATATACATTCTTAAATTCTGCTTTGTTAAACACACACACACACACACACACACACACAAATCGTAGACCTGGGCAAATGAAGTAAATATAATTAATTATATACCATTGTTTCATTACAGTGGATGAATATATTGCCATTGCAAAGGAGAAACATGGCTACAATGTGGAACAGGTATGTAAAGAAACATTTTAATATTAAGGCTTGCCTCAACATTTATGAAATTCAGAGAACATCTCGTGATCATTTCTGTCCTAAAAGTGAAGCAGTTCAACCAACTTTAGAGATACCAAAGTCCTAACAAAGTCTGACCTCTCAACATTAAGGATTTTGCTTTTATAAACATTATTTGTCTCAAGGGCTTGAACATTTTTCTCTAAATACCTCTGTTTCTTACTCTATTTGAGTTATAAAAGTGTCTGAAAGCCTTCATGACTACTCTGGCAAATGCTTACGAAAAAGGGAAAATTTTTTGAGTACAGGTAATTCTCTTTGACTTTTGAATCTAAAAGAACTTAAACTTTTAGAAATATTTAAGATTTTTCCATTATGAATGAAATAATGCATAAAGGTTTTTTTTTAATTTAGATAACTTTAAAAGGAGATATATAGCTTATGATTTATTTATCCCTAGTAATGAGGGGATGAAGAGCATGGAAAAATGAAAATGAAATAGAGATTCTTAAATTTCATTTCAACTAAGTATTAGATCAACCTTTATCAGAATTACTAGTAAAACAACTGAATTATCTGTAACCTGGATTATTAAGAGCTAACTTTATGGTCAGTAACATGGTTACATAATAAAAAACCATTTTTGTGAAATTGAGATGTTTATCCAAATGCAGTAATCTTTTTTGTGAATTTTGAAGCCTTTGATTATGTATTTTGTTTTTAAGCCTTGACTTTCTGTTTAATATTTAAGTAAGTTAATCCTTTAAAATGTGACTGCATATAGGTTCATTTTCATGTTCATTTTAAAGGAGTATTACCAAAGTACAAAAATTAACTTTAAAGCTCAATATTGAAAAAGTTGCTAAGTCTCTTAAGAAATAAAACTTTATCCCTTAAATGATATTCAGTACCTTATTATAAAGACAAAGGCCTACTATTTACCTACAGTAGGAGAGAAAATTGTGGAACTGTTGGAAATCATTCATTTCAGGCTTTCCTATGATTTGCTAATAAAGTCATTGAAGTTATTAACATGCCCATACTAATTCTTTGTGTACATTATGATAATAAAGAACTTTTAAAAATATAGATGATAAAAGATTGTTATACTTATAGTTGAGGTACTCTCCTTAGAATTGTTTAGTCCAAGATATATTTCTAAAAGGTTAAAACAAGTATTTCTCAAAGTCTCGACTGAGCACTTCCAGTTTTTTGTTAGAATCCATAGTTTTCATTCAATTACTGATTTTTTGGATTTTTTTTTTTAGTGTATTTTTCTCTACACATTGACAGATGAATAAATGTGGGTAAAAGTCTTGACATGAGCCTTCAAACGTGCTTTAGTAATCATAGTCACTCTCCTCAGCTAACTGTGTTTCCTAGATTCTGCAGCAGACATGGTATGCAAGAACATTCACTGTTCTGAGGCATTGATTTAAAAGAAATAATAAGTGAGGTCTGCTACTTGGGCGACCCTGATTAAAACCCCAAACTGTGAGTGTATCTTTAGTTGAAGTCATAGGCTTAAGATTTTAACATAATTTGTATTTAATTCTCTTAAGTATGATGGAACGTAAGTCCATTAAAAACCAAAGGGGATTGATTTCTCTTCAAAGGCACTTGGCATGTTGTTCTGGCATAAACATAACATTGAGAAGTCCCTTGCTGATCTCCCTAATTTTACTCCCTTTCCGGATGAGTGGACAGTGGAAGATAAAGTCCTATTTGAACAAGCCTTTAGTTTTCATGGGAAGAGCTTTCACAGGATTCAACAAATGGTATGGTAATTTTGGTCTTAGTGTGATTCATACCTGCATGATATTTTATGCTGATATTAAACTTCCGAATTCTTAACTAGAAAACAAGTTTTCCAATCATGTTCATTTTTAAAAATATTTTGAAATAGGTATATTTGCATAGAGTGCTATTGTCTACAACCATTCTAAGGCATGACAGTTATTTGCTATTGTAATAAATTAATTTTTATTATGACTTAAATATATGTGTAATGGTATTGTTTAAAAAGTTTGTCATTCTAGGAAAAAAAAATCATAATTTTATTTTTAAATGTTTTATTTTTTAACATAAGGATTTTATTTTCTAATTCATATTCCTTTAGATATGAACATCAATTTTTAAATATTCTGTAATTCAGTATTGTCCAAGTGCTGTTGCTTTTTTTTTTTTTACAAGAAAATCGCTTTTCTAGCTCTTAAGTTTTTAGTATTGTGTCAAAATAATATAAACCTGAGAAGTGCTGCATTAAACACTTATAACCTGAATGGATAAAAACTAGATAACGTTTGCAAATATATCTGAGTGTCTTCCATAATTGAAAAGAACGTTTTTGATTGGGAGTGTGCATTCTTGTTTGCCTGGATGACAAATCAGTGCATGATCATTTGTCAGTTTTTGCCCAAAGACTTTATTTGGTAGCTAAAGTCTATTTGCGTTATTTCTCATTTTAAAACCTGTTAAAACAAAATGATTCCAAAAAATCATTGTTAAGAATTGAATAGCTTTTCTGGGACATATGCTAACTGAAAGAAGCATGTTGTAAAATTGTTCTACAGATCCACTAAAAAAAGACTTTTTTTCATATTAAGATATCAAAGGTCACATATTGTATGATTTCATTTATATGAAGTGTTCAGAATAAGCAAATCCATAGAGATTAGGTTAAGGAGAGAATAAGCATGACTGCTAATGGGTATAGGATTTCTTTTCAAGATTATGAAGATGTCGGGAATTTAGTGATGGGTACACATAACTAGCGCATATACTAAAAACCACTGACTTGTACTCTTTAAATTGGAGATTTTTATGATATGTGAATTACATATCAATAAAAACTGATTTACATAGGGAAAAAAATTGAGTAATTATTTAAGGAAAACAAATATTAAATACTAACATTGCCTGTGTTGAGGACTTCTGGGGCCATTCTTGCTGTGTTTGTGACGTCTTTCTCCTCTCCCTCAGAACAAATAGGCATGTTTATTCAACAATGTCAGTGTCATAGGTGTGGGTGGAGTACTGTGACCACAACACACTTTTTATCTTTGTAATTTATAGAGGTACTCATGAAAATGTTTTATCTATGCCTTTGTTTGCTAAGTATCAAAGAATAATATCAGAAATATTCTGTTCATTGGAGTTTACGAATTAAACTTGCTGATATTAACATGATTTTTTTTTAAGCTTCCAGATAAGACCATTGCTAGTCTTGTAAAATATTACTATTCCTGGAAAAAAACTCGATCTAGGACAAGCTTGATGGATCGCCAGGCTCGGAAACTAGCTAATAGACATAATCAGGGTGACAGGTAGGTTGGATGCCTTTATATAGTTACATTGATAGGAACACTGTATTGGATTGATTACATTTCCTAAGGCAGAAAAATTATCACAACATATTGTAAGTACTTCTCTTACATTCATGTTTCTGCTCTGATAAGAAGGGCTGAGTGATCAAAAATCTTAGTAGTAAGAACTCTCTTCAACTCTGAACTGTTAATCATAGCCAGCGAACATTACAACTGAGTTATATTTGAGCTGTGTTTGACTGTAATCACAAATGCTTTTTTTAGTAGTAATATATTTAATACATATATTTAGGATCTAATAAATATATTCTCTAGAAGATGCTCTTTCCACAGTTACCTGAGTGACTCTGAAGTCCATGTTACTGTAGCTGTATCTTTATGGCAGTATAAAATAATTTTGCTTACTGGTTTTTGTCTGTCTTTATTATCCAACTGGAGAACTAAAATAATTAGTATTACATCTAGTGTTCTCTTTCCCAAATAATATTTCTTTCTAAATATCTTCCTTATTTATTTAGGAAAGATATTTAGCAGTTATGTTAGCTAAAATGATTCTGTATGCCTTAAATATTTCTAAACACTACAGAAATCTAAATTTTAAAAGCCTATCTCCTCGGGGCAGCCCTTGTTCTGTTGGGGAATATTTAGTAAAATTATTAGCATTTGATATTACCATTTGATAAGAGCACTGGAATAGAATAAAAAGAAAGGAATTAAGTTTACTAATCTCTGTCTCTTCCCAGTGATGATGATGTGGAAGAAACACATCCAATGGATGGAAACGATAGTGATTATGATCCCAAAAAAGAAGCCAAAAAAGAGGTAATGGTGATCATCAGAGTGCTTGTAAAATTATTCTAAGTTTCCACTAAAAAAAAAAAAAGACTCTTTTTTTCTTCATCTTATGAAAAATGTTTTTACATAATGTTTTAGGAGGTCATAAATTCTAATATTAATTAGAATTTTTTGGAAAAGCTTTAATATCTGCAACTCCAATTAGCCAATGATTTAAGTAATTTTTGGTTATGTCCATTCAGAAGTATCAAAAACCCTGTCACGATCCCTACTCTTTAATCCATAGAAAGGAAATAAAATACCCTCATGTATCTCATGTAAAATTAAGCTTTCTGGTTGTTAGTACTTTTTCTTTCTTTTTTTAAATTTTTATTTTATTGATTTTAGGAATCAATGGTTGATCCCTCTCTGTGCCCTGACCGGGGATCCAACCTGCAACCTTGGCCTATCAGGATGATGCTCTTGCCAACTGAGCTACCCGGCCAGGGCCTACCCAGTTTTTCTTGAAAACATTTCTTTGTTTCATATTATACCAACTTAGAAGTAAGCATCAGGTATACTGACAGCAGTGAAAATTGAAAGCTGCCTCAGTGGAAGAGATGGAAGAATCCCTAACTAGCAAAGCACACATATTCCTCAATGTGATGATAATGATGATGACTTAAAATCATTAAGAACAGGCTAAATTTTTATACATGCTCATTTATTACGGCAAGGAATTGTATAACTGTAAAAAATAGACTTAATGTTGATGGATAAAGGCTTATGAGGTATAGGCAGCTATGGAATAGTGGAAGTAACATTGTTTTGTCCATCTATGTGAGGTGATACATACAAATTTTGTCTTTGTTTGCCTGTGAGTTCATCCTATTAGTAAATAATGTGAAGGGAAAGTGAGTTAAAAAGTAAGAAGACTGCAGGGTTGTAGTCCAGGACTGACAGTGCATGTCAGCAGCTTCATTCATTTATCTGCTCTTTCACAGATGATAGGAACATCCGGCAGGGAATGATACTCTATTATTGCCTTTAACACAGATTTAACTTTTAAAATTGTGGGCTACACTTACCTGAGATGTGTACAGTGTAAAGAATAATAATAAAATAAACACCAGTGTGTCCATCGCTGAACTTAAGAAACAGAAGTCCTGTGCGTGTTTCCTTAATTACACTCTCTCCTCCCTTCTCTCCCGAGGGAACCTCTATCCTGGAAAGAGAACCCTATCCTGAAATTTATCAGTTATTCACGTACCTTATTTTAATGGTTTTAGCACATGTGTATGTATCTCTGAGCAACTCTCATTTAGTTTTGTCCATTTCATACTTTATTTAAATGGAATCATGTTGTATGTATTCCAGCTAATTACTAGCAGTGTTTTGTTCTTGTTGCCCAATATGTTTTTGCAATTCTTTTTATTGCTGTATTATAGTGTTTACTAGAGGCCCAGTGCACGGATTTGTGCACCGGTGGGGTCCCTCGGCCTGGCCTGTGCCCTCTGGCAATCCGGGACCCCTCGGGGGATGTCAAACTGCCGGTTTCGACCCAGTCCCCACAGGCCAGAGGGCTCCTGTGCACCAGGCCTCTAGTATTATTCTGTTTCAGGATACAGTAGTTTCCCCCCTTATGTACAGAGGATACGTTCTAACACCCCAGTAGATGCCTGAAACCATGGTTAGTACTGTACCCTGTATATGGTATGTTTTCGCATATGAATACATACCTTTTTCCTTCATTTGTTTAACTCTGTTGTAACTGTGGCAACAGCTCTTCCTCGGCAGTCATTCTTATATTTTTCAGTCCAAACCTCTTCCTAAATCTGTGTAACCATCCTTTACTTGCAGTAAATGGCTTAGTGTCACTCCTTTCAGGGATCCTTTGCTGAAGTATTAATAAAGGTTCAGTGCTTTTGGCTCAACACACCGTCAGTTGGAACATAAGTTTTCTGTTTATCTTCTACCCACAAATTTAATGCCTTTTGCATCTTAACTGAATAGTTACCACCCATGGTGGCCATAACTTTTGCAGTTTGAGGTGTGACAGCAAAACTAGCACAAATTTATTTTTTTTCTCAAAACTTCATGGATAGATTTGTTCTTTTTAAAAATGTTTTTGTACTGATTTCAGAGAGTTAAGGAGAGAGAAACATCAATGATGAGAGAGAACCATGGATCGGCTGCCTCCTGCACGCCCCTCACTGGGGACCAAGCCCAAAACACGGGCATGTGTTCTGACCAGGAAATTATTTTTATTTTTAAATTATATTTTTATTGATTTCAGATTTATATGTTATATTTGTTCAGTTTTAGTTACATCTTGGTTTAAATTTATAAATTAAACATATAGTCATTGTATATTTAGTTTTACCCACATGTTTAAAATTTATTTTGCCTACCATTCTTTCTTAAATCAGGCTTTTCTTCAAAAATAATTTCCCTTTTGCCCAGCTGGTGTGGTTCAGTGGTTGAGTGTTGACCTATGAACCTGGAGGTCACAGTTCTGATTCCTAGTCAGGGCATATGCCTGGGTTGCAGGCTCAATCCCCAGTAGGGGGCATGCAGAAGGCAGCCGATCAATGATTCCCTCTCATCATTGATGTTTCTAGCTCTCCCTTCTTCTCTAAAATCAATAAAAATAAAAATAATAATTTCCCTTTTTACTGAAGTATATCCATTCCAAGTTAATTTATTGAGGGCCTCTTAGTTATAAATGCAGTCAGTTTTGTCCAGAATGTCTGTTTCTCCATTCTTCTTGAAATCTTAGTTTTGTTGGGGTTAGACTCCTAGATTGACAGTTAATGTGTATAGATATTATTTTACTGCTTCTGATTTCTATCCCTGCTGTAGAGAAGTCTGCTGTCAGGCTAATTATCATCCCTTTGGAGGTAATTTGTCTTTTTCTCTATCAACTTTTACGATCTCTTCTTTGTCTTTAGTGTTCTGTAGTTTCACTTTGATGTATCTGAGTATGGATTTCTTTTTTTTTAACTTGCTTTGGATTCATTGTAATTTTCTGAATGTTATGTCTTCTTAAGTTCTGTAAAATTCTTATTTATTGCCTCTGAATATTGCTTGTCCTTCCTTCTCTCTATCCTTTCCTTTAGAAATATAATGGACTTACACTTACCTCTTAACCACTCACATTTTCCACTCTTTTGTCTTTCCATATTTCTATAATGCATTGTAGCCATTTTTCTTATATATACATTCTAAGTCAACAGTTTTTTTGAGCTCCGTCTAATCTGCTAAGTAACCCATCCATTGAGTTTCTAATTTTGTTTCTAATGTTCTTTATTTCTAGATATTCTATTTAGTTCCTTTGCTTCATCAGTTTTGATAGACTCATTCCTTATAAGAACATTCCATATTTTCGATTCTTTTTGTTTGTTTGTTTAAATCAGCGGCTCTCAACCTGTGGGTCGCGACCCCTTTGGGGGTCGAACGACCCTTTCACAGGGGTCGCCTAAGATCATCGGAAAACACATCTATAATTACATATTGTTTTTGTGATTAATCACTATGCTTTAATTATGTTCAATTTGTAACAATGAAATTGGGGGTCACCACAACATGAGGAACTATATTAAAGGGTCACGGCATTAGGAAGGTTGGGAACCACTGGTTTAAATCCTCACCCAAGAGCATGTTCTTACTGATCTTTAGAGAGAGAAGAACCTTTTGGTGTATGGGACAGGACCCTTTTAATTTTATTTAGTGATTTTAGAGATGGGAAGAGAGAAAGGGGGTAGAGAGGGGGGGGGGGAGAGAGAGAGAGAAAGAGAGAGAGAGAGAGAGAGAGAGAGAGAGAGAGGAATATCAAGTTGTTGTTCCACTTATTTGCACATTTATTGGTTGCTTCTTGTATGTGCCCTGACCAGAGATCGAAGCTGCGACTGGCATATCGGGACAATGCTCTAACCAACTGATCTACCCGGCCTAATTCTTTTATTTCTTTGCACACATATAACACATTTATTGAGTTACCTTTAGTAATGCTAATATCTGTAGGCGTTGCAGGTATAATTCTATTGTTTGCTTCTCTGTTTCTCGCTCACAGAACTTGTATAACAATTAATAGCTGTGAGCTCATTTTCCTTCGAGCATACTTGAGAAAAATTTTGAGACCTGTGTTTAAAGTGCATTTTTCTAGAGACAGTTTGCATTTGCTTCTGTTAAGTGTCTGAAAGCACACCATCTGAGACACTTAATATTTTGGATTTTTTCAAGCTAATCCTCACACCTGCTTGAATGTAGGCCTATGGTTAGGTATTCCCAGGGAGATTTGTTTTGGTTTCTTTTCCGTTCAGCCAAAGATAAGGTAGGCATGATTCCCTTTAATCATCCTCTCCCTCTGCAGGACAGGGACTTTTTTCTGCTTGCACAGTGATGAAGTACCTTCCAGAGTTCTGGCTTTATCTCCTGGGCCCTGTGTCTGCTGTCCACTGAAGCCCGGGCTTTAGGCAAATGCCAACTCCTGCATACTTATCCCTCTGGATTCCTGCTTTCTCAGCATTTCTGGTCTCTGAGGCATTTCCTCACTTCTTACCAGCTCAGAAATGAATTTTAAAAGATTTTTTTTTAAATGTATCCAGCAAGTTTAGGAGTGCTGAATTGGGAGGAGTTTCCCTCAGCATCATGTCTGCCATGTGTGACTTTGAGTTGGATTTTAAGCAACAAAGTGGATTTTGCTTTATTATACAATTATTTTATAACTTTTGCTCAGAGTTCCTTTTCTAAAGAATTGGATTAAGTCTGTTCTGTGAAATAGCTTTCAACCTAATGGACACAGTTTCTTATGGATTCCTGTCTCACAAGCACAAAATAACATTATATTTCTATATCATACTTTAAGAATATTGCAAGTAATAATGAAATCCTGCTTAGTTCATGGTTATCATTCTTAGAAATTTCTTAATGTCTTCCAAAATGTAAATTCACATTTTGTTTTATTCACAGATAAATAGACTTAAAGTTTTGAAATATTGTCATGATCAAGATAATTGTGTCCTTTTTAACCTTTAGTTAGCAGCATACTTCTCTTTCAACAACTCTAAAGTGAGAATGAAAAGTTACCTTTTTTTATGAGCTGTCTAATCTGCCACTTATCATAATTCCTAATCTACCCCTTTTCTTTTCTTTTTTTTTTTTAATATATTTTATTGATTTTTTACAGAGAGGAAGGGAGAGAGATAGAGAGTTAGAAACATCGATGGGAGAGAAACATCGATCAGCCGCCTCCTGCACATCTCCTACTGGGGATGTGCCCGCAACCCAGGTACATGCCCTTGACCGGAATCGAACCCGGGACCCTTCAGTCCGCAGGCCGACGCTCTATCCACTGAACCAAACCGGTTTCGGCTACCCCTTTCCTTACTTTCATTTTTTTATATGTATTTTTTTATTAATTTCAGAGAGCAAGGAAGAAATAGAAACATCAATGATGAGAGAGAATCACTTATTGACTGCCTCCCGCATGCCCCACACTGGGCATTGAGCCCACAACTGAAGCATGTGCCCTGACCAAGAATCAAACCATGACCTTCTGGTTCATAGGTCGACACTCGACCACTGAGCCACACCGGCTAGGCTACTTACTTTGTTATAAAAACTTTGTACTTAATGTTAATAGCATTGTTTTTGTTTTGCCCTTTATTGCTTAGGGAAAATATGTCCCCTCTTGAACAAACAGGAATAGTTTAGAATTCAGCTATTTTTTCTTTTGTTCAAAGTCCTCTGGGTGTAGAAATCAAACATTTTATTGAGTGGATGAATCAAGAATACATTATGTTGCATGCTTATTTTTCCCCAACTGGTGAGCTCTGTGTGTTTGGACTCATACATAATCTAATTGGTTAGAAGTGTTTTTCTAGATGTACTTACTGCAGCAGATATTTCTACTAGTAATAGACAGTTTTCGCCTTATGTTCAAAATGAAACGACCTGTTATTCTATCTTTGTTCTTCCAGGGTAATACCGAACAACCTGTCCAAACTAGCAAGATTGGACTTGGAAGGAGAGAGTATCAGAGTTTACAACACCGCCATCATTCTCAGCGTTCTAAGTGCCGTCCACCTAAGGGCATGTATTTAACCCAGGAAGATGTGGTAGCTGTTTCCTGTAGTCCCAATGCAGCCAACACTATCCTCAGGCAACTGGACATGGAGTTGATTTCTTTAAAACGCCAGGTATTTTATAAAAGTCATAGTTTTAATGATTCTGTCCATTTTGCTTATCCACTTTACCTAAGTAAACTCAAAATTTTGCATATTTTTCTCGTGACCCATTTACATAAGCTTTGTTCTTTAAAATTTACCTTGTTTCCAAATTGTAAGATACCTCTGTCTATTCTAGGTTTGAATCCCAGCATTGCTACCTGTTAGCTTTGTGATCTTGGGAAATGGTAGAATCTCTCTACGCTTCAATTTTATATCTATGAAATTGGGGATAATAATCATACTTTTCCTACAGGTTGTTGGGAATTATTTGAGATGATGCCTGTAGATTTTTAGCAGGGTTTGGCACATTTGAAGGAATAGTGGCTACTCTCTTCATCCTCATCATCATCACCAGTAGTAGTACTAGTAGTAGTATAAAAGTATCATCATCATCGGGTAGTGGTTAAGAGTCAGCATCTGGAGTCAGTGAACCTAGGTTCTAACCCTGGTTGCACTATCTACTTCCCATGTAACTTTAGGGAAGCTGTTCAACTTCTCTTAACTTCAGTTTCCTCATCTTAAAACATGGATAATAATGTGATGGTTGGGAGGAATTAAACAAGATAATATATCATAAGTGCCTAAAACAGTGCTTAGCACATAGTAAGTACTCAGTGAATGGCTGTTATTTGGTCTCTGGCCTTTCTCAGTCATCTTTTCCCTTTTTTGTTTGTTTCTGTTGTTTATCCCTTCGGTCTAGTTACTCTTCTAAGACTGTACTTTCTTGGTCTATACCAGCCAACCTTACACGATATGCCAGTGACTTCTGAATCTACTTCTCAAGCTGTGACTTTCTCCCAAGCTCTGTAGCTGTATTTCCAGCTGTCTGCTAGATATTTCATCTAACCCCCAAATGTTCTCTGTTGAAACATCAGAATCATCTTAGATTCATCCCTTGCCAGTATCACTGCCCCAACACACACAAACCAAGTAGTAACCAAATTATGTGAGTTTCATCTCTGAAATTCCCTTTCAATCAAATCCCTCATTTTTAATCCCGTCTCTGCTGCCCTTGTGCCCTTTACCCTTCTTGCCTGACAATAACTATCTTGTTGATAACTCCTTGTTATTGATAAAAACATTATGATGCCCAGCCGTTGTGCCTCAGTGGTTGAGCATCAACCTGTGAACCAAGAGAGCATGGTTTGATTCCTTGTCAGAGGATATGCCCAGGTTGCAGGCTCAATCCCCAGGCGGGGGCGTGCAGGAGGCAGCTGATCAATGATTCTCTCTCATCATTGATGTTTCTATCTCTCTCCCTCTCCTTTCGTCTCTGAAATCAATAAAAATAAAATACATTATGGTATTGAAAAATATTGATGGATTTTTATTCCTATATATCAGTTATATTTGGTTATAAGAGACATTGTTAAAATACATTCAAATACTATGAGTTGTGAACTATGTCTATTAATCTATTAGATAGATTATATAAGTTGATGTGTATATTAGTTGAATGAGTAGAATATTCCACCCTAAGTGTGATAAGTGTCTATCCTTCTGAAATAAAATCTAAGAGGGTTTGGTACATATCCTTTTCATTTAGTGAGTACTCACCTAAGTACGTGTTCTGATTCATATTTTGGGTTATTTTTATTGAAGGTTCAGAATGCTAAGCAAGTAAACAGTGCACTTAAACAGAAAATGGAAGGAGGAATTGAAGAATTCAAACCTCCTGAGGTACGTCATTGAAGAATATCTGTGACTAACCTTGTTCTTTGAGTTATCCAGTGTTCAGCTACTATTTTGGTCACATGTGTTGTTAATACTTTGAAGGTTTAAGATTTTATAATATGGATAATTTATTAAGTCTATTTTGTGATAGTCTTTTGAGACTTGGCTAATAATTTAAGTTAAATAATTTTTCCTCTCTGCCTTTAGCACTTCCTGTCAAGCAAAGTAATTAGGAAATATAGCTATACAGGTAGGCCCAGTGTATGCAAAACCAGAAGGTCATTGATGAGCAAGCCAGTCCATTTCTGGGTCTGCAGCAGTGTTTGCTCAAAGCCCATTTCTGCTTGTGTGAATTGGTAACACAGCAAGAAAAAGATCACCAAATATAGAGCTAATTTTAACAGATTTCAATTTTAATTTAAGGTATTTGTCTTTTAGCTGAGATGTCCAGTTAGGATTTTAGTATGCAAACTTACATTCTTGTACTTATATCCCTGAGAATATGAAATGTAAAAACAATAAACAGATTGACCATTTTCTCAAATCTTGCTTGTATTTCAACTGAAACTTAATGTTTTTGCTATTTGTGATAATTATAGGCATTAAATTCCCATAAGGTTCAATCAAGTCTTTTTACAGAGCTATTATAAAATCTTTTTTCTCTCTATTTTTTTTAAAGATTACTATGTTACGCTTCATATCCTGGACTTGCCTTTCTGTTTATGTACTAACCAAATAATTTTATTTGGTCCTAATGGGATATTTCTCCACTCCCCCAACTAAATCGCAGGTCGAAATATCTGAAAATGAGTGTGTGTGAAGGGCTGGGGAGGGGCAAAGCAGAAATGCTTCAGAACCAGTGCACCCTGTGCCATCTTACTCAGTATAGCCTTTCAGAAAACAGAATCAGGGAGAAAGTTGTGTTTGTTTGTTTTGAATAATCTCTTTCAAGGTTAGGAAATGTTAAAGAATGAAATATGCATAGGCTAATATCATTCCAAACTCAGGTAGACTGACAAACATTCTGGTGACATTTATTTATTTAAAGATAGTGTGATACCAAAAATACTACTATAATTTTTATATTATTGCAGCAAAAATGCCTATAATATAAAAATATAACTTAATAATTAAATGTAAAATTGCAGCAGGTATTGAAAACATGATGGGATACCATGAAGAACTTTATGCCAATGTGTTTGAAAATTTAAACAAAAGTTAGAAATTCCAAGGAAAATGTCTTACCAAAATTATCTTGAAAAGGAAGAAAACCTGCCGTGGCCGGTTTGGCTTAGTTTGATAGAGCGTCGGCCTGCGGACTGAAAGGTCCCAGGTTCGATTCCGGTCAAGGGCATGTACCTTGGTTGCGGGCACATCCCCAGTGGGAAGTGTGCAGGAGGCGGCTGATCAATGTTTCTCTCTCATCGATGTTTCTAACTATCTCTCTCCCTTCCTCTCTGTAAAAAATCAATAAAATATATTTTAAAAAAAAAAAGAAAAGGAAGAAAACCTGAATAATTTATAAGCATTAAATAAAAAGAAAGAAAAATTAACATTTTTTTCTCAGAGGAAAATATCAGGCCCAAACACTTTTACAGAAAAAGTCTACCAAATTTTCAAGGAAATGATCATTCTAATCTCAAGCTTTCCAGAAAAGTGCAGAATCATCGCACTCATTAACATTCTATAAAGTAAGATGTACAAGAGTAATAGCACTTACAACTTCCCTATGTGCTACCTCATTTGATGCTCTCAGAAATTCCAAGAAGTAGATGAAGCAAATACTATTATTTTACATGAGGAAACTGGGCCTCTCAAGTCAGAGAGGTTAACTGACTTGATCAAGGTCACATGTCATAAATAGTGAACCTCTGGCTATATTTCAGATTCTTAGATTCCATTTGGAGTCTTAGATAAATATGCTGCCTCTTACTTTTGGAGGTTTTCATGTAACAGCAAAATGCTATAATAGATGCTCCCATTTAAATCCATGTATTGGGCTAGAAGTTACTGAACATTTATTACATCTTTTGGTTTATTGTAAAAATAAATCAAAATGAAACAACTACAATCTTAACTCTACCATTTGTACATTAAAGTTTGAACATTACTTTGAGGTTGATTTATTGAACTCATATGACTTGAAAATGCATATATTTTTTATCATCTAGAAAGTTTTATCAACATATGTTTATTATATTATTCCTATTGTTTTTCAGGGGAGAGCAAATTGAATAGATACACATATTTCAAAATACTAGGTTTACAGTCGTAGTAAAGACCTTGAAAAATCATGTAATCTATCACCTAAAGAATTTCTAACCTAAAGAAATTCACTAACTTTTGGAACAATAGGCTACTAAGTGATATAACTCAACTGGAAGTAAACAGTTACTAAAATGCTTTACTTACTCATTTGGTTGTATTTATTTTTATTTAGGGAAAATTTTGATGAAGAAAGTCCATATTTCGATAAATATATATTGATCACTTATTTCATGTAAAGCACTGTGTTAGGCACTGTGGGAAGTGTGTGTTTGGGAAAAGGGGGGACCCATAAAAATGAGGAAGAGATGAATTTTTTTTGCTCCTTTTCTCCATCTACCTTTAAAAAAAAGAACTTGCAGGGGGTGGGGCAGGGGAGGAAGGAGTTGAAATTGCAGAAACTGATTGGATTTGTATGATAGATTTATAAGTGATTTGTTAACCAGGAAAACAAGTGGTCATTATTCATTCTACCTGGGATCATCAGGGAATTCTTCCCAGAGGGGGCTGTTTCAACTGAGGTTTGAAGGATAAGTGGGATTTTTGTACATACAAAAAGGACAGGCACAGGGACTCATGAACAGTGTTTTGGTGTTGAGCAGTACATTCAAAATATAGATCCAGTGGAAGAAAATAAATGCATTTTAAAAAACTGATCAACAGGTATTCTCTGAACACTTATTATGTGCTCCTTATTGTGCTAGTAACTATTGAGAATTCACCAACCCATGTAAATCAGTCTTTTCTCAAGTAATATATTGTCTGCTTAGGAAGGCACACTTGGATTCAGAGGACCAATGACCACCAGGTATGAGAGAGATATTAACAAGGTAGAGCTGAACAGGGACTTCTTTGTGATAGAGATCAGCCGGTAAGGACCAGAGAATAAAAGTCCTTGTGTGACCTAGGAAGAGAAGTCTACCTTTTAAATTAAGTCAAATGGAAACACCTTCTAGTTTCTTCCATATAGGAAGGAAGTAATGAAAATTTTTAATTTTAGGGAAGCTATCCTGTCAGTATTATACGGGATAATTTAAAAACTTTGCAGCTTCTAAAATACCAAGCATATGAGTAATAAAGTAAATGGTAAAGGGGCACCGGGTAGGGCCAGGTATTAGTTGTAGACATGGACAGCAAGTGATAAATCCACAGACCATTGCAAGTAGAAATTAGTGTATTTCCCTGAAAGTACATGAGAGTGATGGGAGTGATGGCATGTTTGGTTATGCTTTGGTTTGTTTTGGGCGGAGGTAGGTGGAGGCACGGAGGTTAATTAATCCAGGAAGCAAGAAACTGAGAAAGGAATGCTTTTGAAGCGAGAAATTCCCCCATCTGTGGATGTTTCCATGCCCGGGGTTGGTGACATTCTTTCATATGGATGTTGTATGGAACTTTTGGCCTTGCGTGGAAGGTTTGACTTGGTGACCTTTTCTAACTCTTCCCACTCAGAGGTGTTACAAATCCACTACTGACAAAAATGGGACAGATATAAAGACAAAGTAAGTTAGCAGGGGAATAATGCAGTAGCGATGCTGAATATAGGACTAAACTATTTTGTATTCATAACTGTAAACCTACTTTTGCCCACCCTGTATTAGATTGTTTTGTTTTATATTAACATTTTATTATTTTTAAAACAATGGTATTTCAGACTGGGGTTGCTGTAGAATGTTCTCAGTGGTACCATCCAGTTAACCACAACTACCACACAGTTTCAGATTCCTAAATATATAAACTAATCTTTACCAAAGTTTCTTGGGTTTAATAGAGAATATAAAAATCGGTGACTGAAAAGAATCCTATGTATTTAAATTTTTTTACTCCTTTTCTCCTTCAGTCTGACCCCTCTTCCATTGCTTCCATTTTGTCACACCTAGACTGTTTAATTCCTTAGCCATTTCAACTCCTTCCTCCCCTCCCCTCCCTGCATTTTTCTACTGAGATTTCTTCTTAAAGGTTAGTTAACATTGGTTGATGCTAATGAGCAGTTTCCACAGCTCTAACTCCTTGTTTCCTTTGCATTTTTCTGAGCCCTGGACATAGATGTCAACCTCTCTTTTTCCTTTAACTTTTGAGAGGTTATGTTCTCTTTTATAACTATTATGTCTCAGCTGTATTATCCTTTCTATACATAAATATAGACATTCTCCAAGTTTTTATCCTCAGAGTTCATTTCTGTCTCTTCTCATTGAAAATACCAATCTTATCACTTGATATGTACATTTAAATGACACAATTGAAGGACAGATATTCTGCTAATAAAACAAAGAACATTTAGTCATAGCAAACGTGGTAAAACTGGCCATTCTGCCTGAACTCCATTTACCAAGTGTATGCCCCTGAGTGAGCAGCTACGAGGCTGGGAAGTGTGAGCCCACTGTCCCTTCAGTCAGTGTTAACTTCCACATGCCTCCTGTGTGAGTATGTCCTTGAACTTAGTGAGATTGTAGTATTTAAATATGTGTTCGTCTTTTTCATTCAATACTACCCTAAATTCACGCCAAAGGCTTCATCTGGGATTTAACTAAAAAACGAGTGGCCCATCCCAGTGCTGGAAGAATACCTAACGCTTTGGGCCTGTGTGCCCATCTCCATGGCTGCCTTTGTGAGAACATTTCAAAAGTAAATTTGACAAAACTTTTTAAAATTTATAGGCTGATTTTAGAACCTCACATCTGAGTAAGATTTGACTCCATTATTTTCCCTCATGAGCATTTGAGTAGATGAATCTCTGTTAGCCTCAAGTGGAACCAGAGCTCCACCTGGATATCATTGTCCACGTATCTTACGTTAAATTCATCATCTTAGCCTTCCTCCCCCATTTCCCAGATCAGTGTTTCTCACGACCTTTCCTGAGTTAACTCCAGTTCTTATCTATCCCACCCATCATATCAGCATACAGCTTGATTACTCTCTTGCTCATACAGTGCAAATGCAGAACAAAACAAAATGAAGTTATAAATCTTGCAAAAGATGCAAAACTTCATGAAGTCTATGAAAATAGAAGAGAATGGCTTTCATCACTTGCAACATTATTGACAGATGGGTATCTAACAAAATTAACAATTGAAGGAAAAAGGATGGTCACTCACAGATAAGCATTTCAAAAAAAGATAATTTGATTACCAAAAACCAAGAGGCCCTTGAGAAATTGTTGAAGTCTTCAAAACAAAGATAACCCATTCTATGCTCATATTATGAATTTCAAAGCTGGGGGGGTATTACCATTAAATAGTCAGAGAAGATATGCCAAAAACAAATAGAATGAAACATATAAGTTAAGGTCATTATTGTATTTTTAATGAACTAATTTTTTTATAAGTTTTCATTTCATATTCACATTAAATTGCAATCAACCTTTTATGATTTTAACCATTTACTTTGAAATATTTGGGCCTGTTTTAAATAGGTTCTAGAATCAATTATCCTTGGGTACCAAGGACCTCTTTTATCTACCTTTCACAGCCAGGCTAACATTAGATTGCCTGGGGAGCGTATGTTTACATTTTCTAGGTTTTCCTCTATCATCTTTTTCTTTATTTCTTTTCACTTCTTTAGCCTTAATTAACCTTTTCCTTATTACTGCCTCTGTATGTCCCATTCCCTCTCTTTTCTCTTTACCTTTTTACTGTTGTTCTTTGCTTCATTGCCAGTATCCTAACATTGAGCATTACCCACTGTCTGCCTGGCTTGCTTGCTTTTCGGTTTTAGTCTCATCATCTGGAATTCAGTGTTTTCTTTAGGTTTTTCCCTCCCTTTCTCTAAGTCCTGTTTTACTTTTTCTTCTCTAATAATTTTTTTTAATTTTGAATTTTTGTTTTATTCTTTCTTCTGAGTGCTTACTTATACCTCTTCACACGTGGTGAGGGAGTTGGTGTTACTCAGACCATGTGTGCTCTGTAGAAACTCTTATTGCTAAGACCATGAGTAAGATAAGACCTAATCACCCCTTCTCAAAGGAAGCCTTTCTGTTTTGCCCAGCATGCCCCTGTATCACACGAGGGCACTTTTCCTGGGCAGTTTCTACTGCAAACCTCCGGAGGCTGGTGTCCTTATGTCTGTTCCTCCATTTACTGCCAATGGTCCTTGATTACTGACAGGGGTATACACCAGTGAAATTCGATCGGTTGTTTAACATTGAATATTGCCATAATAAAAATCCTAAACATAGGATTTTTTTGAAACAAAAATATTGAGAGGAATATGGGAGGCCTTGGGGGAGATATTCTTAGAGTGAGTCACTTTCTGCTTCAGAAATGTTTTAGGGCTTAAGCCTGATCTACAGTTCTGTGTTAATTTATACAACACTATTTTTTTGAAATTGTCACAGGAGAGTGCCCACAGAATAATGGCAGCCTTCTCTTTAGCCTCTAAAGCACAACACAGTCATTTCATAAACAAAAATACTAGATTATAGGTAATATAATCTAAGTGTGAAGAGAAGAAATTTTAGAAAAAGTCACAGATTTCATCTAAAGAAAAAATAAAGTTTCTTAAATGTTTAAAATGAGGCTAAAATTAACATGTGCAGTGAGTGATAGGAACATTGTAGTTGAAAATGAGTGAATATTTTGGCCTGTTTTAAATAGGTTTTCTGACTAGAGTATAAATGTGAATGTTGTTCATTCTCCCAAACTGGTACATTTCTCTTTCATTATCTTTTTGTGTGGGTAAAAGGTAACTCAGAATATATATATAAATTCTTATAAAAGTGAAATCTTCCAAAATCAGAGTTTTAGTAATCTGATGTCTGTAATTTGGTGAAAAGTTTTTTAAAAAAGTAAGTAAGCACTTTGGAAAAATGTCTGTCTTCATATCCTCATTAGGAAACTTTTCTTTAATTTTGTAGTCAAATCAGAAAATTAATGCCCGTTGGACCACAGAGGAGCAGCTTCTAGCAGTGCAAGGTATATTAAAGATAAGCAGTTCTTTTTGTTAATAATCATTGAACTTGTCATGAAAGGTGACCACCGTAGTTCTTCCTTGCCTTTAGAAATGGGTCGAGAAAGGGCTCTTGTGTTCACCACAAAGTCCTGGTGACCAGGGACTCTGTTCTGTCCTTGTGAATATGACATACTGAGCCTCTGTGCATTTCGAGTCCTGAACAGTGTAACTCGTTCTCAGAACTAAAAAAGTGATGGTGCTGACAAGCTTGCACAGTCGTGTGGTCTCTGCCTCTGCTTTGGTATTCCTCAGTTGGGTTCATTCTTACCATATCAGTCATTGATAACGTGGTTAAAAGCTTGAATAAACTAGTATGTGTTTCTGGTTTCTCTGTATAATAGTGTATCTATTTGATAAATGTCAGGTATTGAAAATATTAATGGTGTGCTTTATTCTCAGTGTATTATAACTTACTTAAGAGATGTGCCACTGAATGCTTAGAAACCTGACTTTAAAAATGTATAGATATTACAAGAGATCTATCAAAAATATACATTTAGCATTTTTAATGCACTACAGTATTTATAAGAATGCTTTGTTGAATTCTATGGCAGAACATTTTTTGTATGAGAAATACTGTTGGGCAAATTGGAAGCATTATAAACTTGGATTTTCTCGTGTTTGAATTACTTAAAGAAGGGCAAATTGCATATTTTTATTCAATGTTGTAGGTTTTTTTTCTCCCTTCAAAATAAACTATCTGGAGGACTGATTGTGTAATTTTAAGTTTGGCCTGCAATCTGTTCCTTAATAGCTGATCCCTCTTTTGTTGAGCACTTATAGCTATTTTATCTAGGTTTACTACTGTAGGAGAATTAAGCCCAGAGAAACATACAAGTATACCTTTAAAAATATTTCCAAATATTCAAACATAGAGAATATATTTAACTCAAAAATACTATGCAAGCACCATTCAGATGTGAGAATAATGTAATTAAAGATTGATTAATAGATGGCTCTGCAGTTTGTATTAGAGTGAATAACTACCAAGCCAGTGTGATTTGAAATTGTCACAGGAGAGTGCCCACAGGATAATGGCAGCCTTCTCTTTGGCCTCTAAAGCACCACACAATCATTTCATAAATAAAATGCTTGACCCTGTGGAAGCAAGGTACTGGATATGCATTGAGCACATATATATTGTAGAACTATGTTTCTGAATGAGTCAGAACAAAGTTTAATTGATTTATAATGTTCAGTAATTGTTGTTTAAAATTACAAACTAGCGATTTAAAAATTAGTATTTTTCATGGCTTCTTCAAATGGCTTCTTCAGATTATTTAGAACTATGACTTATAGCTCTAACATAGTTATTTGAGTAGGCATTGCTTTTATTGACGTAAAGCCTGTGTTTCCCTCCATCGCAGTCTGTAGCCTATAGAATTTAACCCTGGTTTCCAGTATTCAGTTGCTTAAAGGTTAGTATATTAATCCTATTCTCTAGTGTAAGAAATTATCCCAGTGAGAGAATTTTCTGAAGAGAATCACCAAGGAAAATCTGGGCTAATGTTTCTCTATACTGCCCTCAGGATTTATAACTGTTCTTACAGCACTAAGGGATAGAGTCTGTTGAATCTTATGGCTGGGTTGGACATTATGCAAAGCTGCATTCCAGGGAAGGGACAATCCCAAGATTTACATATATAGTGTGAACTACATGTGTGGTCATTACCCCAGCTTATAAATATTAAAGAGTGGAGCATTTCTAGATATAATCAAACATTTCCTCTCCACTGAGATATATTCAGTATTATATTATTATGCATATCTAAAAAGTAACCCTAAATAAATTACACTAGTTCAGCAATTTATACAAAAAAATATGCATGTTCTTGGGATTTCAAAAGTACTTTATTAATATGTTAATGTCTTTGTTTTTATTTATTTGATTCTGTGTGGAATTTTTGTTTTCATTTTTTGTTATTGTTGTCGGTTTTGTTGTTATTATTGTTACATAAAATAAGACAATATAAAGCTATTTGTTTCCAAGATAGTTATTTGAGGGAGAATTAAAAAGTGCCATGTTTGCCTCATGTGTTCACACATTTATATAATGTATCTTATAAACAATATAATTATATAGTAATGTCACCTGTACCTGAGTCTCAGTGTGGTTGAGGTACATAATTGCAGTTTTTATTTTAACACGGACAGTTTGCTATCAAGAACTATTTATCTTAGCAGGCAATTGTTTTTTTGTACTTTTCTTTTTAATCTTTATTTATGATAAACCTTTATATGATGTTATTATGTGGCTATTTCAATTTTATTATGTTTTGATAGTAACATGTTTTAATTTACATACCATTTATATTTAAGACATTTTGCATAGATATTCGGATTTAACGCTCATTTGCTAAATGCTTTATTTTACCTTGCTCCTAGTTGACTATTACAGTGGCCTGAAGAGAGAAATACTGACTCGCTCTAGTGTCATTAGTGAGATTTGTCACTCTACTATTAAGTAAACTTTTGTTGTAACTCTTTTAAAGCCAACTAAATATATTAAGATGATTTCCTAGAACCTAGGAATATATATTTCCCACTTTATTTGCCATTATATTGTTAACTAAATACTAATGATTTAAATACTAAATATTTGAATATATTAATATTATTTTAATAATATTTAAATAAATAATAAATCTTGTACCCTTTTTTCTCCCTTATTTAGAAGAAAAATTCATGCTCAGACAAAATAGGAATGTGTGTTTATCCTTGTGTAATCTATCACTTTATTACATTAGTTTCAGTTTTTGCTATGTTATAACTTCAATACATTCTTCAAGAGTCCCCAAGTGGGATTTTATAAATGCTGATAATTTAATCCTCTTAAAATACTTGCCAAGAATGCTCTTTGTTCAACTTCTGTAATCTGTTTCAGCCTTAAGTATCTAAAATTTCTATTATAACAAATTAGTTAACAGTGAAGCCAATTATAGTCTTCACATATTGGTTAATGGTGAAATATCTCTGTTTTTAGTTTGTGTCATATAAATATTTTTTCTAATTTATAATGCTTTTAGAGATTATCCTAAAATCAATTTTGATATTCATATGATGGACACTTCTTATTTAGCAAGAATTAGGAAAGGCTGGTGTGGGATGAAGGGGGGAAAGGGGAGCATCTATAATACTTTCAAGTAAAGGTAAATTTTAAAAAGAATTAGGAAAGAAAATAGATTCTAGGTGTGTGGGGGTTTTTTTCAAGTAAATTGAACAATTATTAACTCTGTTAAAAATAACTTATAAAGAGTAATAACATTTACTCTTTAGAGTACATAGAGGCAGAAGCATGGTATACAATATTTGCCATTTTTATTTTAGATCTCCTCTTAAATGTGCAATATCTATTTTGTAGTCATTAGTGTTAAAAAATATGTTCCTCAACTAAAATACTTGTGCTTTTTAAGATAAAAAACTTTTTCCAGTTTTATCAAGATGTCAATTTTAATTTTTAGTTAACTTTTTGTATTGTTAGCCTTCTCATATAGAACAAGAAATAACAGGACTATGTTCAAGGGGATTATGCTTACAGTTCAGTGTTACCTTCTCTCCCTGTAGTTCATACATTCATTTTGTTTTAGGAGAAATGAAGTTGCAAATCTAGAACTTGTCTTCTTTCTCATCTTATCTCCTACTTTTTTAAAAAGCTAGAATCATGCCTAAAGAAGGAAAAAAAGATTGGGCAGTTGGTTAACACATAAGGATTGTGGTGACCTACCTAGTACATGAACAATCAAAAGGAAATGGAAATAGGAGATTCCTACCTTTTTAACTAAAAGGCAAGCCATATGAGTTTGTTCTATTATAACAGGTATAAGAATGGAGATCAAAAAGTATTGTCAGCCCTCTGCTGCACTTGCTTCAAATAATTAATGATTCAAATTAATTTTTTATGGAATTTAATGTTTAACTATGGAAGATGGGAATGTAAAACTCAGAAGAGAAGGGCTAGACATTAGAAAAGAGAATGTATGATTTTGACTTTTAGCTCTGGCCTAGATGCATCAGTCACTGTCCTGTTGCATGCAATTGGTAGCTTTTCTACCTTTCTTTAATACATACCCTTGAAGGGATTTTTAGGAGGTAGAAAGTAATGTATATTTTCAAATAGTTTGAGTTTAAAAATCTCTAACTGATAGGAAAGAACCACACCCTTGGAGTTTCTAGGTGTTACTGTGTTTTTATTTCAAGATAACATTTTTTAAAAATTGAGATTTCCTAATTATACAAGTACATGCTCATTTTAAGAAATTTTGCTATAAGAAGCAGGAAAAAATATCCCCCAAAATTCCACTCCTTAGAAGCAGTTTGCCTCTATAATGTTTTTGCTTTTTTTCTTTGTAGTCCACAATCAATTTTCTAAACTTTTTAAGTATACCAAAAACAGGTTCCTGGTATCCTTTCTATATAAGAAAAAAAGAGTCTATAATTCCATGTCCAGAATTGGGAAACACCATATCACAGATGTTCCTGAAGTTACTATCTTACTAGCTAAAGCTCAAAAAATATGAATGTATTTTCTTGGATAATATAGAATACTGATTGAAAATGTGGGCTTTCATAGAATTTAATGATAATATAGTATCCTAATGAGTTTCATTTTTATGTTAATTCCCCAAACAAAACTTTAAAGGTATATATATTAAAGGTTATAAGGTATCATCTGCCAGATAGAAGGCCAAGCTGTTTCATTTTAACTTTCAAATGAAATTTAGAAATTTGACTGAAAACAATTTTTTTCTCTCCCTGAGAAATTTATAATTTACCTCTTCCAGGGGTCTCTCAAATTTTATTCCACTAATCTTTGAAAACTGGCCTCTTGCCCTAAAGGTGAGAAGTTTTATTTAAAACCATGGTTCCAATGGACCCAAGCCTTTTACATCTTCAGGGAGAGAGAGGTTTAGTCACTGTATTTCATTTCCTTGCTGATGAAGCAGGCAGGTGGCCTTGTTCATTGTGAACTGAAGAAAAGACGGCCCACCCTGACCCAAGTACAGATTGGAACTAAGGGAGCTCTGATGTCATATGTTGTTCGAGTCAGGTAAATCTAGGAGCCAGGTCATCTAGGAGCCTCGCTGGGGATTTTTCTAAAGGAGCAATTAAGTCTTTAATTGGCATTTTACTAGAGTTTGCTAGTTACCAGCCACTGTCGAACTTAAGAATTCCACCTTATAGCCATCAGCCACTGTATAGAGCTTAAGAATTTCTCCTTATAGCCAAAATAGGCTGTTGAGAAGGGTTATTGGGATTGTGAAGGTGACAAAGAAGTCACTATATGTGACTCTTGTGGTTTGGGGAAGAAAAGTAGAATGACGCCTCATAGGGAAGAGAAGTCAGTCAGGTTCCTGAGCACTTCCTGTGGACTCAGCATTGTAGTGATGCTGGGGCTGGCGTGTATTCCAGAGGACCGTACTTCCCAACCTTTGACATTGTGGCAAACAGAAAATTAGGAAATTTGTCACAGCATACTGGGCAAACAGACAAGGCTGCAAACAGAGGAGACTGTCAAGGAACTGTAGCTCATGCCCAGACCCTGTACAGGCATCCTGCAGACTGAGGGCCTTAATATGGGCCCATTTGTTCTCAGGACATGATTGGGGTCCTTAGCTAGACTACAGCAGTCTGCAGTGTGGTCTGAGCCTTAACATTTTGCAAAATAGTTCATATAAGATTGTCATACATGAGTTAATAATAGACACACCGAGGGACTTGGAAAAAGTTCTTGACATTGAAAATGTCTGGGAAAACTAAAGCTCCTATAGGAAGCAGCTTTGGTTTGGTGGTCTATAATTCTGGAAATGCAACAATATTGTGATAAGGTAAAGTCCATTGAACAAGAGAAAATAAAGTGGAAGATCAAAAAGAATAGAGTCAGAAGAAGCGGGGACAGTTATATAAAGGAATCTATCTGGAAATAGCTTAATGGTAGGTTTTGGAATATATTTTGCTTAGCAAATAGGTGTTCTGAGGGCTGTAATATCTCCAGACTCGGAGTCCAAGTTTGTCTTAATGTGATTTCTTGCTAGGAATACAGATCTAATCCAGATCTATTTAAGGTTTTCGTTTCTAAACTCATGTATTCGATAAGGTTCGGGCATTTCTAGAATGTAAGTTAAATGTCTTTTATGAAAATTAAGAGACTGCATTGGATTTCTGATTCATAGTTATTTTTCAGTGCAGTGATCTCAAATGACTTGCTGTTTTCCAAAGTATATGTAGTAGAGAAGTACTTAAATATATAGCAATAATTCCTAATATGAAATTACCTTGAATTTTTATTGCCATATAAACCCTCAGTAGAACCTAGTCGCCATTAGAATTTATACTCAGTATGAAGTTCCAATTGGAAATTAGCTCATGAATTTTAAGAGAATATAAATTAATTTACATTGCTAAAATATTGTAAACAGTGTTTGAGTATCATTACTACTATGTTGTCATGCATATGTTGTCTGTCCTATTCCTTTGAGAATGGAACAAATGAGCATAGTTTACATACCTCAAATTCTATATTAAAAATGGGATATGGTTATAGCTTCATAATGTCAGACTTCCCCCCAAATGCTCTAAGAGTCAAGCCTCGCTGGTCGAGTATAGCAAGAGATACTTATTCTCAAGTTCTTAGTATAAAATAAGGGCAGAATTTAAAAACAAAAATTATGTCCTATCACATTGGTGCTTTAAGGTAATTGGGTAATGCCAATAGGTATCAGTAAGAATATATCTACTATTTCTGCTGGGGTCTTAACATATCCTTATATTATTCTCTCATCTGTGATTGTATACATGTTGCTTATTTCAATCCCCATATTTTTGGCTGCTTCCAGACTATATTAGAAGCATCAGTATTTTTTTTTCTCCATTCTCATCTCTGTGATTAATAAGTTATTGTTTTCTGGTACTTTAAAAAGCAGTTTTCAAATTATAAAATAAAAAATTTTGACAACTTTTATATTTTGAGCTAAGTGCATCTGTTTTAAGAATAAGTCAGTGACCCTCTCTTAGAATTTCCTTAAAAGCAAATTATTAGCCATCTGATTATATAAAGTCATTTTTAAATTATTCCATAGCATAATTGACTATCTCAAGTTCATAAATATTATCCTTCATAATGTAATTTAATAAAATGTCCATAATGAAAAGTTAGGTTCTCAAATGACGGAATGTACAGTCCTTAAATTGGAGGTAGTGATGAGAAGCACAAGTGCTCTCCAAGTAGTTGCTGCTGTAACCTTATCCTTACGTCTAGAAGGCATAGCTGAGGCTCCTTCATAGACACAGTCTTTAGAACTATTACATGAGTTGACATTCAATTAACTGAAAAATACCTCCCCTTTTTTTCATTTGTCAGATTGTGATGATTCTCTTGCTTGTTAATTCTTATCTCATTTCTACTTGTTGGTACCCTGGTGAGATAGCAAGTAATCATTAAATTTGGTATTAAGACCAAAATTATAATGCTTTTCTTAATGGGGGAACCCTGAGACTACTCACTCATTCCATTGAGGGGATAAAAGAGATGGCTCATTCCCATCCTGTCTTGTTTACAAACGGTGTTGCTCAAATTTAGGTGACTGGCTACTAGGGAAATAAATGAATATGGAATTGAGGATGGAACAAAGAATTCAATGCTTTACAATAAATGGACTGTATTTGAGAGTTCAAGAGAGGATTGGAGAAAATAACTGAGTATGTAAAAAATGGTAAGTTTCTGATTGTTCAGTTGAAGGCAAGTGGCTGGCTCGATGAAATGACATAATTGATTGTTTTCATCTGGGACCCTGATATCTTAGCCTCTATCTTAGAACTGAGAAATGAGCAGAGTTTGTCAGAAAGGATTTTCATTGCTGGTATCTTGTGTGTGTGCATGATGTATAGTACACACAGCTCTCCTTATTGATCCTTCACCAGGTGTATTATTTACTTTGCCTTCCAGGTGTCCGCAAATATGGTAAAGATTTTCAAGCTATTGCAGATGTAATTGGCAACAAGACTGTTGGCCAAGTGAAGAACTTCTTTGTAAACTACAGGCGTCGGTTTAACTTAGAGGAGGTATTGCAGGAGTGGGAAGCAGAACAAGGAACCCAGGCTTCTAATGGTGATGCTTCTACTTTAGGGGAGGAGACAAAAAGTGCTTCTAATGTGCCATCAGGGAAGAGCACTGATGAAGAAGAGGAGGTGTGTTTGTGTATGGAATTTGAGCTAATATGAGTCGAGGAATCACCATGTTGTGTGGTGGTCTGTAAGGTTAATTGGTCAGAGGACTAGCTAAACGAGCATGAAAGGTTGACAATACACTTACTCAGTGGTGCATCTCTCGTGACTCTTAAGTCATAATGACATGCTAAGATCTGATCCTAGAAGAATGGAGAGTGTATTGTTCTTTCATAGTCTTATTTTTATTTCCAGTGTTAAGCTATTTACTAATAAAGATGCCTGTTTGGTAGCTTCGTTGCTTTTTCAGTTTTGGGTTTTTTTGTTTTGTTTTGTTTAAAATAAAAGAAGCTTGTGCTTCCAAAATATACTGGTGTTATGTTTTTGTTTTGTTTTGATTTGTTTTGTTTTTCCTGTGACAGCCCAAACTATATTGTATTAAGCTCCTTAGGAACTATCATCTCATACATGTATTTTTGTTTCCTCACCTCTAGGCACAGACCCCACAGGCTCCTCGGACTCTGGGTCCATCACCTCCTGCCCCACCATCCACTCCAACACCAACAGCCCCCATTGCCACTCTGAACCAGCCTCCACCACTTCTTCGTCCAACACTGCCTGCTGCCCCTGCTCTTCACCGGCAGCCTCCTCCGCTCCAGCAGCAGGCTCGGTTCATCCAGCCTCGGCCAACTCTAAATCAGCCTCCACCACCTCTCATTCGCCCTGCTAACTCTATGCCACCCCGTCTAAACCCAAGACCAGTGTTGTCCACAGTTGGTGGTCAGCAGCCACCATCACTTATTGGAATTCAGACAGACTCACAGTCCTCACTGCACTAAAATTAAGTTGGACAGAGCTGCAGTAACTTTTCCCACACCATATACCAATGCTCATCTGACCAGCAAGAACGAGGAAAGACTAATCCTTCCTAGATACTGAGGCTGGAACTGAGGCAGTGGGCTAGCGTAGTGGATGTCTAAGAAATTTTTTAGTTCACACAACTGAGATGTTGTATAAGAAGAAGCCTACAGTTAGGCTCCTTTCTAGAGTATATGTTCAGCAACATGCTCTCATAAAAGGAAAAAAAAAAGATTAAGTATTCTATATACCAAGGGGTTTTTGTTTTTACTGTATTTATTTTATTGAGATTTCTTTATATTCCTGCCTCTTCATAGTCAAGGCTCTTAGTACAAGAATATTGACTTAGGAATTGTGAAAACTCCTTAAGTTTCTCAAGATAAGGATGTTTGACCTTTTTTTTTCTTTAATTTAATTTTAACATTTTCCTATGTTAGGAGTGTAAGAATAAGTAGCCTGCATTTCATATTTTGGCATCTGTTCATTTAATGCATATTTAAGAAATTATAGCCGCATATCCCTTTTTTAAAAAAAAAATCTTGCTTTCTTTTCTAAAGGAATATTAATATGTTCCTTTCAAAGAAAGCAATTTAATCAATTGCAAAGCAATTATATGAAACCAGAAAGAATGTACTGAACCTACTAACCATTTAAAATGAGCTTAGGGTCCTAGTGCAAAGTCCTTGCTTAAAGGTCATTGACCTGTCATCTATCAGTAAGAAGAGGATCAGAGTAATAATACATACGAATGAGGAGTTAATTTGTTAAAGGACAATGTCTTTAAGTTCCTTGAAAATGAAGTTAATTTTGATTTTTTTTTAATGTTTCTAAATGCTGTCTGCTTTTAACTAGTAGTTGCCTACATCTAAGGATGTTAGAAGCGAATTATATTTTGTCAGTTATGTGGAGATAGTGGTAATGGAAGCATTTATTACAATACCCTTTTTGTGTTTAGGTTCTGAACTTAAAACTGCCCTCATACTTAATATGGTCTACATTTAATATAAATGATGGTTTCTTGATAAATCTCTATTGTACTATTTGGATACATTTGTGTATTTCTTGCAGCCAACGTGTATGACTGGGTTTGGTTTAGGATTAAATCATCAACATTATTTTATAAAATAAATTTAAGGATTTCTTCTGTGTTATCTAAAGATATATCGGTATATTGTCACAATTGTGCTGTTAACTTAAAATGCTGAGACCCCTTTTTATAAAGAAACAAAAAAACATTTCAGGTCTTCTTAATTCAACACATAATCATTAAGCACTTACAAAGAATATTTTAAAAGTGATAGTATTTGAACAATGTGTTACTAATATTTTTTATATGATGATTTCATATTGGAATCATGACTTGTGCAAAAGGACAGATTGCTCAGATTGCTATACTAGTGGAACATAAGGCTAAATGTTTGCACATTCACATTCTCATCATATTTAGAACTACTTCACAAAATGGTTAATATCCGAGGGCCTAATTTATTATTTGAGAGGTCGTATATTCCCAAATTATTGGGAAGATACTCCCTATCATTGGCTCTAAAGCAGTGGTTCTCAACCTTCTGGCCCTTTAAATACAGTTCCTCATGTTATGACCCAACCATAAAATTATTTTCGTTGCTACTTCATAACTGTAATGTTGCTACTGTTATGAATCGTAATGTAAATATCTGATATGCAGGATGGTCAGAGAAAGATAAATATCACATGATCTCACTCATTTATGGAATATAATGAACAACATAAACTGATCACTCTTATCACCCCTGTGAAAGAGTCATTCGACCGCCAAAGGGGTCACGACCCACAGGTTGAGAACCGCTGCTCTAAAGTCTTAAAGAGTTCTAGATTCAAGTCCATTGATTAGTTTTAATTTTGACATTTAGACCACTTCTTTCCATTAAGGACCTTAAGTTCTGGCATAATCAAAAACTTTTTCCAGGATGTATCTGTCATTCTCATTGGATCATCTTAAATAGTTCTTCCCCTGGACTGTAACCAGATAAAATCTAATTTAAAATATTTAATATTCAAGAATTTATACTTATTTTTACTTTAAGAGCCATGGGGACAAAAGATATCTAAAGCCTAACGTATTTAGATTGTCTTGCATATGTGCATACTATACAGCTTTTATTGTCTTGTCTTGTCAGTAGGCCTTCAGTATGCAATATGTGGCATATGTCAGTCAAGTTGGTCAGCACCAGCATCTGTCCAGCTGTTAAGTATATTGTGATTCATTTAAAATCTGTTCTATCCCAGCCACAGGCCAAAGTGCTGTATCTGAGGGATGTGCTGTGATTTGATTTATGTACACTAGAGCACACAGTGGAAAAATCTTAGCTTCATTAGTAATATGACACATGTACATAGTGAGATGTCTTTATTATGTGCTTTGCATATTTTGTAAATATTTTGCACGTCATTCTTTTTCTTTTTTGTTTAAGCAGTGTTTGGCCTGGAAGAGTGATATGCTTGCTGCTTAATCAAAGGATTAAAGAGTTAAAGATGTCTATGTCTTCTATTTTTATATAATTTCATGTTGTATGAGGAATTTGGGACCTCTTCACTGTGAAATTCTAAATATTTTATAAAAATAGCAAAACCTAGAAATCTTTTAATGACCATGTTATTAATTTCAAGGTTCTCATTTTTGAAAAATCACCCAAGTATTTTTTGCATTACACAACTAAAAATAAATCACACTATTGATGCATCTGGTAATATTAATGAAAAAATATTTTTTCTATAATTCCAATTTAGTATGGGTAGAGGTAAAGGTAAGTTATGATCAAAACTTTTTCTTAATCCTACAATTAAGTGAGTAAAATGATGAAAGAATATAAAATTCTATCTTAATAGAAATATGTGTAGGGAACAAGCAAAAAATGTAATGATTTTCAAAAATATTAATGTTGCAAATACTTTGGTTACAGGGCCAAGTTTAGTTAATAAATATGTTGTATTTTAATGTTTCTTCCTGCTACCCAAAGGATATATTACCCATAAATGTCAATAACTGCTGATCACTTAACACGGGTCTTATCTGATCACTTATCAGGGTCTCCTCAAAGAGAATAATATGACTACAATTCAAATCAGGATCTTTCTCTTTGTGCTTCCCCAAAATGAATAATGAATACATTCTGATTACAGGAAATGTAAGAAAGAGAAACATGTGTATTAGTTTTTTTAAGTTAGTAATCTGTTATAGATACTCATAAGAAGGTATCAATAAGTGATGGACATAAAGGGAGAGACTGTGAGTAATACAGTCATAGTAGGGGATTTTCACACCCTATTGACATCAGTGGATAGATCTTCCAGACAAAATCAACAAGGAATCAGTGGCCTTAAATGACACACTAAATCAGATGGATTTAATTGATATCTTCAGAGCATTTCACCACAAAGCAGCAGAATGTACATTCTTTTCAAGTGCACATGGAACATTTTCTAGGATAGACCACCTGTTAAGGCACAAAACAAGTCTCAATACATTTAAGAAGATTGAAAACATATCAAGCATCTTCTCTGACCAGAATGCTATGAAAGTAGAAATCAATCACAAGAAAACTGAAAAACACACAAAGACATGGAGGCTAAATAACATGTTTTTAAGCAATGAATGGATTAGCAATGAGATTAAGGAAGAGATGAAAGGATATCTTGAAACAACCCAAAATCTATGGGACACAGTGAAAGCAATTGTAAGGAAAATTCAAAGCATTACAGACCCATCTCAAGAAAAAACTCAGCTAAACCGTCTAACTTTACACTTAAAGGAACTTGAAAAAGAACAACAAACAAAGCCCAAAGTGGGTAGAAGGAAGGAAATGATAAAGCTCAGAGTAGAAATATGAGAGTCTAGAAAAGCAATACAAAAGATCAATGAAACCAAGAGTGGTTCTTTGAAAAGATAAATAAGATTGATAAACCTTTAACCAGATTCATGAAGAAAAAAAGAACACCCAAATAAATAAAATCAGCAATTAAAGAGGAGAATTAACAACTGACTCCACAGAAATACAAAGGATTGTAAGAAAATATTACCAACAACTATATCCCAACAAATTGGACAATCTGGACAAAATGGATAAATTCCTAGAAACATACACTCTTCCAAAACTGAATCAAGAAGTATCAAAGAATCTGAATAGACAGGTTATAACTAGTGAAATTGAAGCAGTAATTTAAAAACTCCCAACAAATGAAAGTCCTGGACTGGATGGCTTAACCAAACATTCAAAGAAGAACTAAAACCTATCCTATAACTACTCCAAAAAATTCAAGAGGAGGGAAGACTCCTAAGCTCATTTTATGAGACCAGCATTATCCTGATTCCAAAACCAGATAAAGACACTACAAAGAAAGAAAATTATAGTCCAATATCCCTGATGAACATAGATGCTAAAATCCTTAACAAAATATTAACATACCAGATTTAGTAATACATTAGAAAGATCACACAACATGATCAAATGGGATTTATTCCTTGGATGCAGGTTGGTACAATATCTGCAAATCAATTAACGTGATACACCATATAAAGAAAATGTAGGATAAAACCACACGATCATATCAATAGGTGCAGAAAAAGCATTTGATAAATCCAGCATCCATTTATAATAAAAACTCTCAGCAAAGTGGGAACAGAGGGAACATACCTCAACGTAATAAAGGCCACATATGACAAACTCACAGCCAACATCATACTCAATGGGCAAAAAATACAAGCGTTTCCCTTAAGATCAGGAACAAGACAGGGATATATGTTTCACCACTCTTATTAACATAGTACTAGAAGTTTTAGCTACAGCAATTAGACAAGAAGGAGAAACAAAAGGCATTCAAATGGGAAAGAAGTAAAACTGTCATTATTTGCAAACGATAGTACTGTATGTAGAGAACCGTAAAGATTCCACCAAAAAACTACTAGAACTGATAAGTGAATTCAATAAAGAAGCAAAATACAAAATAAATATCCAGAAATCAGTTACATTTCTATACACCAGTAATGAATTACCAGAAAGGGAAACTAAGAAAGCAATCCCATTCACAATTACTCCAAAAAGAATAAAATACCTAGGAATAAATTTAACCAAGGATGCAAAAGACCTGTACTTGGAAAATTATAAGATACTGAAGAAAGAAATTAGAGAAGATGCAAATAAATGGAAACACATATCATGTTCATGGATAGGAAGAATTCACATCATTAAAATGTTCATACTACCCAAGCAATCTATAGGTTCGGTACAATTCCTATCAAGATACAAATGGCATATTTCACAGAACTATAACAAATATTCCAAAAATTTATATGGAACCACAAAAGACCCCTAAGAATAACAGCAATCTTGAGAAAAAACAAAGTTGGAGAACTCATACTACCTGATATCAAGCTATACTTCAAGGCTGTAGTAATCAAAATAGCCTAGAACTGGCATAAAAACAGACATATAGGTCAATGGAACAGAATAGAGAGCCCAGACACAAATTCACACCTTTACAGTCAATTAATATCTGACAAAATAGGCAAAAACATAAAATGATGTCAAGATAGTCTATTCATTAAATTCTATGGGGAATATTGGACAAATATATGTAAAAAATATCAAACTAGACCACTTTCTTACACCACACACAAGAATTAACTCAAAATGGATTAAAGACTTAAATGTTAGACTAGAAACCACAAAAATCCTAGAAGAAAACACAAGCAATAAAATCTCAGACATTTTTTAGTAGCAATGTTTTTTATGATGTATCTCCTCGGGCAAGGGAAACAAAGGAAAAAAATAAACAAATGTGATTACATCAAACTGAAAAGTTTTAGCACAGCAAAGGAAACCATCAACAAAATAAAATGACATCCCACTCACTGAGTGGGAGAACATACTTGCCAATACACCTGATAAGGGGTTAATATCCAAAATGTATAAAGAACTTATGAAACTGAACACCAAAAAAACATACAATCCAATTTAAAAATGGGCAAAGGACTTGAATAGACGCTTCTCCAAAGAGGACATACAGGTGGCTAATAGACATATGAAAAGATGCTCAATGTCACTAATCCTCAGAAAAATGCAAATTAAAACCACAATGAGCTAGCACTTCACACACGTTAGAGTGGCTATTATCAGTAAATCAA